TAAAAATAAGAACACAGATATGGTTTTGGTAAATATAAGTTTTTTTTATGTTGTGTGAAAGTCAGAGACAAAAAACAAACTGTGCACAGACATCCTCTTAAGTTATTTTATTTATTAATAAATATAAAAAAAATCCAACAAATATTACCTTATTTTTGGACTTGAATGTTTAAAAAATTGTAAAAACTTTGGAATGAGGATATCGAGCGGCTTATTTTGTCGATCGTCTTCTAAATACTCGGATGAATCTTCACATATTTTTTGCAAAGCTCCAAAAGCCCCCTATTATAACAAAAATAATAACATTACTCAGAACGCAAATAACTATCAAATTTAATTATTTTAATCATATTATAAAAGTAATAATTAATTGATTTCACTTGAGATAAACATTATGTTTCGAATGTTATAGTCAAAAATAAATTAAAAAAAGCATCCCCATCTAAAATATTATTTATCAAAATTAAAATGAATCAATAGATATTTATCTTCATAAGTTTTAATAAATTTAAATAATTAATAATTAGATACCTCGCAAACATTATAATCTGCAGAATCAAGCATTTGACAAAGGGCCGGCAAAAGTTCAGGCCAGGTGTTGATTCCACGTGATGCTATTGTTGTGATTAAAATGCCAACGGTTGCTCTTATTAATGCTGAAGTATCTCCAACTGCAGTTAGACATTCAGACTTTACAAACTCTGTAACCGTAGGGGGTAAATTTTCATAGTGACTCTTGATATTATTTTTCAATATCAGACCACTTAACGATCTTGTAGGTTCGTCTAGAAAAAAAAAAGGAAATTACTTTTATTCAATGACTAATTGATAAAAATTTTAAATCAATAAGGTGGTATTTAAAATAAATTATAATAATTTGAGTTTTTTTTTTAATATTACTAAATTAATCAAAATTAAATATTTATAATAAACAATAATTCTAAAATATTTATTCCTAAATTAAAAGCAAGCTAACTACAGTTTTGAAATTGGTAATATTATACCTTCAGAAGTCAGTTTTGTCAAAACAAATATCAAATAATTGTTAAAATCTGATACTTGATTTAGTTCTTCCAATTTCTGAATTATTATATTAAGGAAATTTTCAATTGTTTAAAATAAATAATTTTTAAATTATATGTAAAATAGTTAAGTAAAATATAAATATTAAGATTATATAAAGGTATGATAATTTTAAATAGTTCATTACGAATTCCCAAGTAATAGCCGAATAGACTTATTGGATATATATTCTGTGAAAAAATGTATGAAAATAGTTAGGTCAAGTATTTTATTAGAAATGTAAACACTTTTAAAAACAATCCTATACAATATGATTTTGAATAATTAATAAATATTTATTTTCTTTGTTTTTAATTTTTAGATGTTTATCTTTTTAACTATATGGGCTGGACCCATGTTAACAAGCAACATTACGCATTTGAGACAACAGAAGTTATAGCAAAATAGTAAATACCGAAAAGTTTGATACTAATTACAATTATTTTGAATATAAAACAACGATTAGGTACCTAAGAATTTATGAATAAAACAAAAAAATTGTCACTTTTATACATTAATTTATGTAAAATGTCATTTGAAATTGTAATGTACTTTAATATTCAATTATTAATAGGTACTTCTATTTAAGCCAAAATAACGTAATTGGAAAATGTTTAATTTTAAAAATTAAGAGTATTTAAGATGAGGTAGACGGTACTACTCAAATTGTGTTTTAGCATTACAACAATTTAGAATGCACTGGGCCCAGAGTATTTAAATACTTTATAAAAATATGATATAGGTATCTCATAATTATTAAAAGAAATTAATAGTTTATATACCTTTATTGGCTAACTTTATATTTAACATAATAAATCACCAATAAAAAAATGTCAATTTTAAACTGAGACTTTATGCAATTTACACAAGTAATAGATATAGTAGGTATCTAAGACAATAAACCAAATACCTATTAAAAACTACTTGAATTTTAATTGTATTTAAGTGTATAGGTAACCGAAATATTAGGATTTTTAAACTGTTTTTGGAAACATTTTTTTTTATTATTTACTGTAAATGTACTTATGTAAGTAAATACATAGTAAATAGTAAACATATTATTTAATCAGTAAATAATTAGGTAAGTAATTGTGGAATGTTAGTAACACTCCTAATTGAACAAATACTATTATATACTCAACTTAAATAACTTAATTAGAGAATCTGAATAATTCTTAAACAGGTGGTTATAATTTGTCACACTCAACATACAAACCTTACCTTGAGTGAAAACATTTTAGATAAAAAAAAGGATACTTGTTGTACATTCCGTTGTATAACCGTGTCGGGAGACTGGGATTCTTTAAGCAGCTGAATGATTTGCCGTAATCCCTCTTCTTGCGGCTGCCAGGCCATTATCATGCTAACGCCAAAAGTCAGTTCAGTCGGTCGGTGAAATGCAGTTAAACTGCTAGAAAAAAAAGAGACGATGCCAATGCTACATAGCAAATAAATTTGACAGTTTATTTAGTTTTATGCAATTACCTATAGTCCGTGTGTGCGGAATTTCCAATATATTACCGCAATATCGTAGTTGGGCTATTGGCACGTTTAAGTAATAATAAACAGATAACTATACAAAAGATAGAGCGAGGGTGTGTTTTATAAAACGAGACTGCGAACGAGGACAAGGCAACAAAATTAACAGCAGACGAAGATGCCCGGAAAGACGGAAAATGACGGAAATCGACCGTATAGCGAATGTGTTACGATAAAACTCCTAAAGTCGATAAGCACATACACATTTTATGTTATTTTTTCCACTCTTTTAACGTCGCCCCGTCTCGCTCACACTAGTAACGATTGGTACGAGCAGACTCATCGATGACACGCGTAACATAACCGGCATCTCGTCAACGATGTGCGACAAAAAGCGCGCGAAATTCAAACACGCACGGCCGTTTACCGAATACAGATTAGGGTTTTGGGTTATTGTGTTATTGCAACTATAAAATACATTATATTCATTAATAATATTGATCACGTTCATTATCGGTACATCATATAATATCGTAATGAATCTTCTGTTTTAAATCAATAATGTGTATTTGTGTACAAATGTACAATTCTATGGACGTGACTTCTTGATTAGAGCCGTTGTTTTAGGCTCCTACGAGACGCCCAATACGCAATCAGTTATACATTATAATAAATTGATGGTGTATTGGAACGTGTGTTTGATATGTTGAAAACACCAAAACAATTTTTATATTTATTGATGAACGATGAATAATTATTGACACTACCTATATAGTGTAAAATTGTTAATGTGTGGACTGTGGGGCCTTTAAGGTATAGGATTGTCCCAGTACACCGAGACATGTAAACATGTTTTGTAACTTCGGTCCCGGTCTTAATATTAGAGTATTAGACAATAAAAAAGTAACTTGGTAACATCCCAATCGGTGAAATACTTAGGCTTAACATTTGACCGTCGTCTTACGAGTCTTAGTCGTGGACTCCTGGGGACTGCATATCAAAACTATAAAATTCACTCTAAACAAACGACTACGCACAATAATATCTAACAAACAAACAAAACTAAACAACCCACTTTTCATGTATACATCTTTAATTAAGCCCATGAGGAATTATGGCCTACAACTGTGAAACAATGCAATATTTGTTTTCCCTTTCATTCACGCTCTATTTAGTTAAAACGCTTTCATTTTTCATCATTCATCATTTTTATGAGTAAAATTACCCATCACAAAAATTATAGAAGATGATATTTTTAAAAGTGTAACTTATCGATTTTATATTTCATTATTTTTTGACATTCAAAATAAATAAAAACGTCGGGAGTAGATATACTGAGCCTGAAACACATCTTTTGTGATAAACTGCGAGTCCCGGATTGGAAAACGTTTGTCGTAACCTGAGTTCCTTAAAAAGGCGTACCTTAAATATTTCAAAAATTACTTCAATTCTCAGTTTAAAAATTAAAGTAGAGTCATTAGAGAAACAACACTATACTTACAAGTTATAACATAATATTATTGCACATTCAGTATTTTAAAATACGCCTAAATACTGAATTTTATTTAAGTTATTACATAAACTAGGCTATTGTGAATACAACTTCAGAGAGCACACACTTCCCACTAATTGAACAGTAAAGATTATGTTATGATATTGTAGGTATTAAAGAAAATTACATTTAATATTTTTGAACAATATAATGGCTTTTTAAGAGATTGAAATTTAAGTATTAATAAAAACTAAACCAAATATTGGTAGACTACAATAAAATGAAGTTCAAACACTTAAAATTATTGGTACACATACAAAAATCATACTTAACTATCTATTTAAAACAATATAAATATCCACGAATCAGCAATAATAGTGTTTTTTTAAGTCTAAATATATATATATATATCAATACAAGTAATATTATTTTGAAAGCTTATCTTAAAACTATTTTTTTTTTTTGAATTAGAGCAAAAGAAACAAACCCAAAGTTATTCAGTTTAGATTTCATAACTTCTAAATCTGGAAATTAAAAAAACATTAATTTATAATCTATATAAATATTTACTAGATATAATATATTTAAAATTCAAAAAAACGAAAAACCAATGTTTACTTTTGAATTATATAATCTACATCTAAATAATATTTTATAGCACATTTAAAATTAATTTTACCAGTATTTATTGTTAAAATAAAAAGGTAAATCAGACATCAGAATTCAAACTATTTTAACATACAAAAACACATTTAAAAATATTAATTTTCTTTTAAAAATTCTCATTTCTGCTTAGAATATACATTGTATAATTTATATTTGTGATATCTTAAGTATTATTATAGAATACATAGTTATTAATAAATTGGTTACTTAAACATTATATATATTATTTTATTATTATTTTCATGCATTTATAATGCACACAAATTGTATATACTTTATTATTAACAATAATAAACGATACTTGAAAATTCAGGAAATGTAATATATGCATTTTAAAGATACAAATTCAAAAAATATTTACTTAAATTGCAGAATTTAATACAAGTGTTAGTTAAAAACTAACTGCACATAATAACTACACTTACAAGTTACAAAATTTATTTTCATTAATTTCTCATACAAATTTTAAAAGTTCAACATCTTGTTACAATTTAATATTAATATAAAAAAAAAAACACCAATAATTCATATAATTACAGAATTATGATTCAGATAATATCTCTTCAATTGTTCGATCATTTTCATCATGCAATGGAAAACTAGTTAGAGTAGGATCACTCTCAAGAAATTCTCTTAATTCAGATTCTAAATCAACACCGGACACAGTACCTTCAACACCTTCCACACGGTCTTGTATTCCATCTCCCATTAATGATACCTAATAAATAGTAGGTAAATTAGTTAATAAAAATAAAAATTGAAGTTAATGACAACAACAAACTTATAAATTAATATATTACCTGTGTCTGTTGATGAGATGATCCATGATTTACTAAATTTGGGGGATGACAGTTATTTTGATTTAACTCCAAATGGGATATTTGTGCGATACCCATTGCTTTACGAACACCAGTGACAGACATCACGGCTGAAGGTGGGACTCTTTTTAAATTTTCAGCAAGGGATTCAGTTATTTTATCCGCTAATATGTATAAACGTATTTATTATTTTCAAATCAAAAATATTATATCATATGTACATTACCTAATTGAATTTCCTGCGGTGATGGATGTGCTATTTGTGAAAGATGTTGAGGAAGAGGAGCACTTAGTCGTTGATTTTGTACGTTTTGTAAACGTCCCAACAACCCACCAACATGATCCAATCTATCTTGAAATACACTTTGTTCTTCTACAAAACAAAAATGTTTATACATTGGAAATAAATAATAACAAATAACAATAGATACTAACGATAATAATCTATAAATTTTGTGTCAATTCCAAGTTCTGATAATGATTTTAGCTGATCGATTTGTATCGGAGCAGATTTAGTTTGATTTGCAGTAGTAGTAGTTGAACCTCCAGTATTAATTAGTGAAGTTGTTAAGGGTTGACATGATGAAGGCTGATGTAACTGACTAATTGATTTCTTGCTATCATCTAAAACAATCTGTTGCTTTTTTCGCTCATCTAATACACGCTTTGTTTTACGATGATCACCACCAGTCATTAAATCAAGCAAATTATCTGCCATAGTCATAGCATAATCTGAGTCTTTTGTAAAATTTAAAATGCTGAGAAAAAAAATTATATTTTATTACCTAATAATACATGTATTATATTTAAAGGATATAAGTATACAAGGAAAAAATCTCTGGGGTTTTCTTATGACTTACTTATCATTATCTAATTTCATTAATAACACTATTTTCTTTAGTTGGTAAGAAAAATTTTAAATATACAATCAATTTAGTAATTATTTTTTTTTTAAAAAGTAGGTACTTCAAATAAAATATGCAGAATGCTGCTGTGAAAATATTTTAGTAAACGATAAAGAAAGTAAAAATGAAATATAAAAACAAAAATTACCTTTCTGCATATTGTGCAGATGCTTCATCGCCATAAGTTCTCAAAACTAAATCTGATTCGTCTTTTGTTAAATTGGCAAAAGTTGAATCATATGTTGGAGCATACGAACCAAATGCGCCATAATATAATGGTTTAACTATAATTAATTGCATTTACATTGAAATAATATGATTAGTACAATATATATACTGTTCGTCATAAACATTAAATATTGACCCATTTAAAATACACACCAGTTTTAACCATGTTACGCCTGTCTTCGCGGAAACCTGGAATTGATCCTACCCCATGACTTAGTTTTCCAATTAATGATCCCAAGAGAACAGGCCTTTCACCTGTTTCAGGGTTGATTCCATCATTTGGCACTAAAATTGATAGTGATGTGGATCCATTGTTTTGTTGTTTTAAGAATCCCATCTTCCAAATTAAAAAAAATATATATATAAAATCTCAAGAGATATTTAAATCTTAAACAACATAAATAAAATATACATTGTTCGGTGTATAATAAAATAACAAATGTTATTTTATCAGATTTGACATATTATTTTCTTTAGAAATTTTAAATCAGAGGGAGAAGTAGATATTAGGTTCACATAAATACAATTTTGAAATGCCCCAGTAGTTGGGCAAACTGAAAAAAAAGTTAAATTTACTCAATTTTCAGTACACGGGTTGTTTTTTTATTCATTGCAAAATTTATCATAGCTTCCAAATTTAATATTGTTATATAATTATTGGTCAGTAGACAGTATTTGTAGCCTTTATATATTTACATATTAAAACAGGTTATATACATTTTTTATTAGAATTTAAGTATGTTAAAGATAAATGTTCAACACAGGGAACACAAGTAATTAATTTTACTTCAAATGTATTATGTACCCGATAGAAAGTTGAAAAAAAAAACGAATTTTCAGTAACATTTATAGTATAATATTTTGTTGAATTATCACATCAAAATAAAGATATAGCCTGAGCAGGTAATTAAGCTATCAAACTTAATGCCTGGCTATTCAGGTATGTATTTATCATGGTACTTAAGAAGTTTAAAAGATTTTACACTTAACAAAGTGAATTTATCAATTAATACATTGAACTTAACTTTACATACATTTATTGATTTGTCATTATTAAGTTTTAAAAAATAAAAATTTAAATCTATATACCTTGGTATTTTTTGTAGCCAATTTTTCAGAAGCCGCTTTTGCAGCATTTTGTGCTTGTTTAAGAATTTCATCTGGTGTCAAATTATCAGGTATTGCCTCAAATTTAGATCTAAAATAATACAGAATCTTGAATAGTATCACTAAGTGCTAAAAGTAATAACAAAATTACATAATTTTTCGCTGATTTAATAGGTCATTATCATGCAAACGTTCAGAAGATCGTTCAATATTTTCAATAATTGTATCGTTCGAAGTATCTCCGTGATATTCTTGGTTAATGTCAAAGCCCAGCTGTGATGGAGGTATATTAGCCATTCCAGGTAATGCAGATAACAGGGTTTTCAATTTTTCTGGGCCTGTTAATTTTAAACCAGCATGAAGAAGTCGTTTAGCTGCTTTATAATAAATCGTTTCTGGTTGATTATATGTCATGGCATTTTCACACATCAATTTAAAATCTGCCTATAAATTAAGCAATGATATAAATTATATTGATATTTTTATAATTATCTAACAATCAAAATTATAACAAAAATTGATTTATTCTTTCTTAAAAATTGTTATTTTCATTATGTGAATATCATATTTTTAATTTTTATTTCATGTATAGAAAAGAAATGATTTGTGGTTATTTGGAGAAATCAATATTTGATAACATCCACTTCAATTAATTTAATCTATCTTCATAGCATATAACTATAATACAAACATGTTCAATGGGGCCTATTATCTTATTGAAGAATAAATAAAAATATCTAGTTTAATTATTTTGTTATAAGGGATAACATAAATACATTAAATAAATGCATTTATACTTAAATACTTACAACAAATGCATTCAAACTAGTATAAAGGTCACTCTGAATGCTTCGGCGAATTGTTTCAAAGTCCATTGGCTTAGATATAAGACGAGAATAATTAGGAGCAATACGATCTGTAACGGGCCATGCAAATAATTGCTGAGGATCTCTGCGTTCCAAAGCTCTAAGCAAATGTGTTAATAATTGTTGCAAAGTTTGCCGATTTTCATTTGCGTTGCTTGTTTCTTCCGATTTCCATTCACCTAAATCATAAATAATGTAATAGTTCATACATTTAACATTAAATTAATAAAACTCACCATTTTGAGGCTCAGTAGAGTTTGCTGTGACCCTACTGTTGTTTTCAAAATTTGTAGGCCGTTTTGACATTGGAGCTTCTGCTAAAGTCTCCTCGCCTAAACTTATTTCTTCATGAATTGTGATATCATCTCGCGTTCTTTTTTTCTTCTCTTTATGATGCTTGTGTTTCTTCTTTTTCTTCTTATGTGATTTAGATAAATAATCATTAGTTTCATGATTACCATTAGTATTACTAACTATTTCATCAGCAGGCAAACAACTTCCACTGCCAACTTTTAATATCAATTTCAAGCCGCCAGACTTCTCCTTATCTGAAACATAGGTATAGCATTTAATAAAAAAAAGCATTCTAAAAATAAAATTATGAATTTAAATGCATAGTTATTTGTACTTATATTTAATTAAGGCAAATTAGATGTAAGAAGAGACAGTGAATCACGAAAAGTATTATTGAAATAGAAAGATAATTAAATCCAAATACAAAATATATATTACCTTCGTATTTATCTTTTTTATGCTTTTTTCGTTTCTTGCTTTCAAATTCATTATTTTCATCGAAAGACGCCAGTTTGAATGCTTTAAGTATATGCCTACTATCTATAACAATTATATAAAATCTGTATTGAATTTATTTACATAAACATTAATTTAAAGTTATTACGACTGATTCAACTAAAAGTTTATTGAATATTATAGTCTAATATTGTTCGTAATAATAACGTTGATTTAATAAAATAAAAACTTAAATATTAAACAGTAGTAAATAGTATACTATACTAATATTATTACACATTTGTAATTGTAAACAAAACAAATACGATTAATCAATAGTAAAAATGTAAAGTTTTTATCAACGTATATATTTTTGAGGTTATATGGTTCGGTATTTTTCCATTAAAAATAATCATGGAACAATAAGCAGGGTAGGAAACAATGGAACAAATGCAGCTTAGTTCCCCCCGCCATTTTGAATTTTTTATCGAAACATACATAAATCGGCGAGTTAAGAACGATGGTGCAATCAGAATTTATAAAATAATTAAGAATAATTACAGAGTAAACTTAAAGTCAATTTAATAATAGTATAGTTATTAAAACATAATACATAAAAAACCTAAAAATTTACAACAATTCAACGTTGTCTTTCTCATCTCTCATCAGTGTCTAAATCGGACTTAGTTGTTTCGTCATTATTTTGTGTTTTGAGTATTACTTGATGGATCATACAAATGCTCAGTCTGTTTAAAAAAACTCAGGTAATGGCTCTAACTTTAAAATATGACATCGCTTTAAAACATTAATTTTGCCAAATACCCAGCAACAAATTTTTTTTAAGGCAATAGGTAGGTACTGCATGAGGCTTTTGCATGATGCCACATTCCTGATCCCTTCAACATACTTTGTATGAGCCCTTGTGTCAGGATTTAAAAATCGAATTGAGTGATTGACTGTCAAATGTGTATAACCCTCCTCGGCCAAACAGTCATAACTGAAGAACTCTATGAGAAGTAGCATTGCGTTGGAAACAGAAACTGATAAATTATAACCAGTACGATGTTTTTAGTTATTTAAATAGGTAACCTTCCATCAATCACCGTTGATGATAGTTCCTGGTAAAATCCAATTCTTAATGGCCTACAATAGGGTATCCTTGTCCCTTTTTTTTGTAGGTATTAAAAACGCATCTCCAGTTTCCCTTCAGTACATAGTACTGAAACGTACCTAGAAACGTACGTCAAATATAAACAATAAAGTTCAGTAAACGTAAGATATAGGATATAAGTACCATGTACCTAAGTTCACTTAAATGTATTTAATGTACCTTTACGGCTTTACCTATGTAAAATGTAAATGTTTTCTTATTTCTGTAGCAATGAACGACGTGACAAGGGGAAGTAATAGTCATGATTATTTTATCTCTGTTCATCTGTTTATCGTGACAACCACTTTGAGGAATCGTGCTTCCTCAATCGCCGATCATTTAAAAAAAAAACTTTTAACTTATAACTAGTAATTAATTTATTCTAACTTGTATTTGTAGTTTGAAATTTAATAGGTATTTGGAACTAGGCAATTGCAACTTGTATATTTTAGCATTTGTTACTCAGTGGAGCACTGGAAATTTGTGATAACGTAATTTAGTTTCATAAGTAACCACTATAAAAAAAACGCAGATAGTAATGCTATACAAAAGGAAATATCCCGCACTTTGCCTATTCTATAACATTTCGTCGTCAACCTATCCACACAATCCAACCATATTTATATTGTATCAAAATGTATGTTTTATATAAAACAGATTAAAAAAAAAAATGATAACAAAGTTGTGATAAAAGTTGTATTTTTACGACTTAGAATTTTGTAAAAAATATTTTCTAAAATGTTTTACTGTTTTACTTACTAGTTTTAATGAGTGTCTTACGCTATTTGGATCCCTATTCACATGGCATATAGTATTTAGGTTTTTTAAGAAATCCATTATTATGCACATAAAAAAGTATAAACATAATAATACATTATACATTATTTAGAAATAAAATCTGATTGTTGATCATTTTTTTTAAATGGATATTGTTAAGGCTTTTAAGGTTTTTAATTCTTTTAAAGTCAAAATTCTTAAAAATTAAAAATTAAAAAGTAAAATCTATTGCTTCAGTATTTATTTCGATATTACCTAGGGGTAGGTACGCTATAAAAATATACTTTAGTTTAGGTTATTTTTGGGGGGTTGGTTTAACAAGTTCAAGTAACAGTAATCACCGACTATTTAATAAATCAATAGTGAGCTAATAGCCCATTCAATTTTATTGAATCATTATAATATTAATACCTACATTTTTCATGCAACCCAGCATATGAAATTCAAAATATAACTAGTATTATCATAGGCAATATTAAAAGGTCTTAAAGACGGTTATTGATAATCTGCACAACTATAGATATTACTGTGGATATTATTTATAATATTACTATTATGTTGTCTTATAAATTACCATTATGCAAAACACAAATATATGTATCACCTATTTAAGTACCAATTTTGTAAATATACCTGTTTAAACGTACCTACTTACTAGGTTTTTTGTTTTTTAAAAATATATACTAGTTAGGTACAATTATAATTATAGTTAATAGCCTATGTATATGATCTATTAACCTTGAAAATATATAATTTGTATACCGAAATACGATGTACCCATCATATTAACTTAATTAAAATAAATCTTGGAACTATGTAGGTTGGTACCTATTTTAGGTATTATCGTTAGTTTGATTTACATAATATTATATTACCTATATTGGTTTTCTTATAGTTCATATTTTTGTTTTATTATTTAAATATTTGATCTGGACGAAACAAGAAGTTGGCATTTATTCTGCTATAATAAACATTTTACTATTTTAGTATTTTATTTTTAAATATTATATGTACTATTATATTAGCTATGCTCATTTGTGTTTACGATATCATTATACTAAACATACTTCAATTTTATTATTATATTGTTATATGCCACGTATCATATAGTATGGTTATGTGTTATAATTTGTATTAAAATAATGGTCTCTGATCAGCGCCTAATCGCATACGTACGTATTTATGATCACATAAATAACGATGGCGACGAATTTATTACTGTTTTTATGATCATTATTATTACTCACGCAGCAGTTTATGACAGATGTGATGGGTTTTACAACTTTGACGGGCTATACGAAAACCAGCAACGCGCCAACCTGTATAATTATTGTTGTATAATATAATGATAAATTTATTTTATTTTGTTCTCTAGTTTTCTAGATACCTATTATGCGCGACACGCGATCGTGCAATTGCCAATATACGAAAACTTGACGATCAAACGTCTGCTATGGGTCGTCCGCTTTTTATAATATTCATTTCGAATTCAGCATTTTAATAAATAACACAACCAAAAACACTTGTATTCAATATATATATATATTTTAAAGTCTAAAGAGAAAACTTTAAAAGCATAGGATTTCGGGTGAGATGTAGGAGGTAGATTTGTGTTATAGTTCTTACTTCTTATTATTGTGTGCTATATGTATATGAATTTTCAACCCACACTTTACATCTCGAATTTTTTTTAAAACTATTCATGCATCAGATGCACAAAAATATCTCAAAAATATTAAATAACCTCTAACCAAGATCAGTCTGCATAATTTTCATTAAGTCGTGATTTAAACTGTTATAGCTTATAAGTATACAGGATAACTGTTAAACTTAGTAGTTATCCATCTAGTGCATCGATAGCACTAACATTTTTTTGTCATCTATATCACGAACGGAAAGAGCCAATAATGCATTACCTAGGTATAAGTACTTACTGAAACCTGGAATGCAAATAACATGTAGAAAACCGGGGAAGTCACTGTCCTGTATAGTTTATAGTCTCTATGGAAATGGGTTCAGTCGATAAGGGGGCTTATAGATGATTTGAAAAAGTTAGTAATTACTGGTGTTGGTCGAGTACTCGGCTTTGAAAAAGTCCAAGACTACATTTTTTTTTGTACTTGTAAATACGAGTACTTGACTTGAATCAAATAATCAACTTGAATCGAATACTCAATACTTAAATCAAGCATTCGTTTTACTATTTTTTAAATTAAAATTTAAAAATACTTTAAATATTATTTTATAGAAAAATAAATATTAAAACTATAAATAACTGAAAGAACCCAAATTCTAGTACAATTTAAAATATTCAAGAATTTTTTCGAATACCTACTTAATATACAGTTATTTCAAAAGTCGATTCATGACCGAGCCTCTTCAGGTTATAGACGGACTGTCAAAAAGTTGTCAACGTTGCACGACATGAGAAATGTAATGTATTATTTATATCAAGCCCAACCAGGTAAGCCGTAAGCGTCAGTTTCCACTATGAATGGCGCTTGGGTTTAACCTCGGTGGTTACCTGGTATATGTTTCATCACACCGACGAATTACAGGCTCCTACTGTAAATTCTTGTGCACTTCTGCAGTCAGCACATGAAGTTTGATTTGGCCGTTTTCAAACTCTAACGTCTCGATAGAAGCTCTCACTACTCGATGTCGGGTGAAGTAAGCTGCATTGCGATGTTCGGTATCGAGTTGGAACACCGTCTCGACAGATCCGCGAGATCGTGGCTTGATTTCAGCTGCATGGACACATGCACATCTTTTTTAAAGAAAAACCTATAAGAAATCGAAGAGTCAATGTCTTTTTTTTTAATCGTTTATTTAAATGAATTTGTATTTACAATCTGTACTAGGGGGCACAATAAGTAAAAGGTTTAGTATAATGTTGAAAAGGACAGTGAATTCCATGAAGGAGTTTCACATTAGAGGCACCTGAGCTTAAATAATTTCCTTAATAGGAATGCATTAAATATTGAGTAGGTCTCTAGGTCAATTGCGTTTGAGGCGTCTTGGTGGGTTTTCTGGGAGATGATTGGAGTGAAGTTGAGTGATTAGGCAGTTGGGGTGGTCGGCCGTTTTGGAGTGGGATTAATGTCTATACGTAATAAAATAGCTCAAAAGGCTTAAAATAGTGTTAACAGTTTTATCATTAAAAGTTTTTATCGTGTTCAGAAAATGCTAACATAAACATTTGGTCAAAAATTGAAGTAGGTATCTATTTTTGAAATTCATATCAAGCGTAGAAAATGTTAATATACATTTTGTGAACATTTTATAAGTATTTATGGTTATTTATTTTTGAACAACAATTGATTTTGATGAAAACTAATACTGTGTTGTACGTAATTGTCGAGCCGTAATAGTTTTAACTAATGGCTAATAATAAAAAAAAAAATACT